AACGTCAGCCACAAATCCTGAAAATGCGGTATTCGGAGGAGTTTTAGCTGAAGAAAGCACTCGTAATGGATATACGATGGTTAACGAGGGATTGGACACCGCCAAACAGGTTGTAGACACAGAAGAAATGAGTACTGTGATGGGAAATGTCAATAGCGAGAATGAGCATCTTAGTTGTGGTATCCAAAGTGCACGCACTTATCGGACGCAAACGGACGCAACGCAATACAACCAACTAAACGTGGTGCTGACAGCACGGATGATGCTACAATAAACAGTGTAGCCGCTATGGCAAACGAGGACATCGAGGATCGTCACTCAGGTAAGTACATGCATCAGTAGAATTTTGCATCGAGTTTCATGCTGTCGTTATGACAAGAATTTTGTTTTACAAGTTATAAATGGGAATCATCGACTGCCAACTCTCGGGGGGGGGGGATCACATTTACCTGCAACCAGTCGGAACACACCATGGACGAGATTAATACAAGTCCAATACCAAGAAGTGCCACTGGGGTGCTTCCGAGTATGTCTCCAACACAACCGGCAATACTTCGACAGTACCAGGTAAGTGGCGGTTGCTTAGCTACAATCGGCTCTGCCACCTCACAGCAGTTTATGTTTACACTTTTACCTCAGAAATTTCTCGCTCGGAAAGTCGCATGCCACCACTATCTCCTCTACCATCGCACAGACCGGCCAGAAGATCATAAGTTGCGGCTGTCCCCTCACTTTATGTGAACACGGCGGTTGCGCTCTCTCCGTCTTAGGAAAGTTGGATGAAAGACAAGGTTTGCAAGAAAGTTGGCGCGGCTTATATAGTCGGACGGGTATGTTGCACTGTGAAACCTAAAACGAAGCCAGGAAAAACCCAGAAGGAGCAGCTCGGACGTAAAAAAAGCGATACCACTACTCTTTCAAGTACGGTGGATTGATTCTCAATTTCAATCTAATTCGGAGTATATCTCGCTCGGCCTAGTACAGAAAGGTCATGCTAGTTACAGCCTTCTGATGGCGACTACAGCTTCACTGCACTGGAAAGATCTCTGCGAGGCCACTGATGATGACCGGCTTGCAATTGCAGACAGCCTTGAGGAGCTACAAGAAGCTCCGGTTCACTACAGCCCCAGCCAAGTGATACCAACAAGCTTGGCGGAGGTGGAGGCGATCAAAACCATGCGATTTGACCTAAAATCGCACATGGCACAACCTGGTGATCTCTTTACATGCGACGATGGAGCGACCGAAACTAAGCTTAAGGATGAGTACCGGTACATTTTTCATCATTCGGCTTCAGCGAGCTTTTTTGCGTATCTCCCTCTTTACTTCTGGAAACAAGTTGCTTTCGAGACCAATGCATATGCAAGCGCCAATCAGATTTTCATCGGCGAACCGTTCAAGTTACAAGAATCGATGACTTTTTTGGGAACACTGTTCTATATGGATGTTACAGTTAAGGGGGAATTTGCGAATTACTGGGGTCGCCATGCAGAAGAAGACATATTTAGAAGTACTAGTATTGACTTAGAGCATGTGATGCCGCTCAAGCGGTTTAAGCTTCTTCGGCAATCGTTTTCGTTTCGAAGTGGTGTCTCAGTGGAGGGCACAATGCGAGACCCTGCTGCCCGCATTCGCACATTACTGAATGTTATGGAAGCTACTGGCGGGAAGTATGTTGAGCTTGTCGTAATGTTGCTTTGAATGAAGCGAGCGTTGCCTGTAGAAGTCGTTTCGGACGCCACCTTATCGTTTACAACCCACGTAAACCCGGTGGAAAGTACCACTTCAAGTTGAACATGATGTGCTGCGCAACGTCATGGGTCGCTGTGAATTTCAGACTACACTGCGAAAGTATTCTCGAAGATCGTTTGCAAGGCGTGGTAAATGTCCCCGAGTCTGAAGCTCTCCGCGAAGATCTTTCGCATGGAACTGCAATCCGCCAGATCGTTCTTGAAGCTGTTCGACCAATCTACGATTCTAAACGAATTATAAATACTGACAATTATTACACGTCAATACAGATCCCGCAAGCTTTAAAGCTCAAAGGGCTATTTGGTCGTGGTACAGTACGGGGGTCAAGCAAGCACTTTTCTAAGCACGTTATGCTGGAAAAGGGTGATTGTACAAGAGGGGAGTACCGCCAAGGGGTTTCCATTGACCACAGTATGCTTGGGGCTTCATGGTGCGACGGGAGCATTGTTAGCATAGTCTCAAATGCGAATGCGTCCGAGTCAAACACTGTCCAACGTCGCGTGTCCAAACGAGCATCAACAATTCGAGGCACCGGATTGTGTGAAGAACTATAACACTCACATGCAGGGTGTTGATCGGCTAGACCAGCTCCGCGCACGCTTCTCTATTGCCGACGGCCACTCGTTAAAAAAATGGCACAAGAAGCTCGCTATGGCTTTGGCTGATGTTGCTCGATGTAACGCGTACCTTACCCGCCGAATGGTGTATACCCCAGTAAATACCCGGGACCCTCACCGTTCTTTCATGCTGGAATTGTCTTCTGAATTGATTTCCGGGAAGTGGTCCAACGCACCGAGTGAAGGTAAGATTTTATACCCAAGCCGCAACATGGCTACGTCAGAACTACAGGCACCGGCTCCAATTAGTCCCGCTTACACTGTTAGCTCTCCATTCGAGAGCCCAAAGAAGACGTGCACTGCAGTTGCATCAAAACAGCTTTACGATGGAAAAAACCGCAAGCGTCGCCAGTGTATTGTGTGCAGATGGGAAGAAAGATATCCCACTGAAGTCACGGACTACTGCGTCATCCATGGTGTGTGCCTTTGCAAGGCATATTTTGATTCACTACCCGCTCCATACATGTGTCCCCAAGCCACGTGGACGTGCTGGGAAAAATACCATCGGTACTACGCACACAAGAATTTGTTTTTGAGTAAGGGGAAGCTACGCAAGACATCTCAGCTATTCAAGCTAAAAGCAAGTTTAAATCAGGTGGGTGAGATCAACGGTAATGATAATCGATCGGTAGTCAGACAAGTTTTTCTTTAGCGGGTTGAACACGCTGCCTAAGTTGAATGTTGATTTGTATTTCTGTATCCGGTCTCTCCAGTGTTCGTGCCTGTGATGATTTCATAAAATGTCAAAGATAGTAGTTAAATATTCTACCACACCCAGTCAATCTCTTGCCAATCAAAACGCGCTTTGCCAGACGTACATAAAGATAGATACCGAGTACCATAGATCTGTCGAGTTGCTGAGAGCTTAACTGCCGAAGATCTCTTTCACGGTGATATGCATCGACACTTGAATCATTTCCACGATCTGCTTAAACCACTTCCGCACAGATAAGCGCTATAGTCTTAGAGTCGTCGGTGGCGTCATATACGCGTAGAATCCCTGTCATGATGACTTCTCCCTTGATACCCAACGTAGCGTGGTGGAAAAGCTAACAAAGCTAGCACCCAGATGCGAAGCTCACTCTAAGCTCACTCTGGAATAACGTACATGTTTACGCTGTCAGCAGTAGCTCCCTTCATCTGCACAGTGGCAATAAACGTGTAAAAACTTAAATAAAGTAAGCAAAACTGCATGTGTCTGTTGTATGATGCATCCAAATGATTGTTTCAGTTGACCAGTGTAATTAATTTGATTAAACTAAAGATTATTTCCACTTGCATAATATATTGACACATTATCCCTTTGGTCTTACCAAACGCAGTCATGATCACCGATTTCTCCAACGAAGCCGATAAGCTACGCCTGGAAATATGCGCAGCAAAACCAACGTGTCGTGTGGGCCGATCTTGCGCGAAAGATGCAGCGGCGTTTGCGAGTCTCCAAGAGCCCGAAGACGCTGGAAACTCGACTTCGAACACTAAAGCGCGCTCACGGCAACGACCTATCTCGTTTTCCTCCATATTTTTTTAAAGTGACAATGGTGCGTTCACACTCCACTAACTACGAGAAGTCTCGGACGACAAGTTACCCCGTGTTAGACTTTCAAGCCTCTGTACGTCTACTTCAGCCGGTATTTGGATCGGTCACAAAAGCTGATATTCGTCAGAGATCTGGTGTACTACATGAAACTACTGGCGAGCTCCTACCAGAAGCTTTATTCAACGTAATAAGGGCTATTGGGCCAATCGCTGCGGAAGATGTATTTCTCGATATTGGCTGTGGAATTGGAAACGTCGTTGCTCAATTTGCACTTCAAACAGCCGCCAAAAGCTGCATCGGTATCGAAATTCGTCGCCAGCTCTCTCTAATAGGCAACCAGCTCGTCCAGAGATACTCAAACGTGCAGCCGTTGCTCAAGAAAGTTTTGCTACTACAGGGAGATGCGAAAGAGGCATCATTATCATTGCTACAGCCTTTTTGCAATGCGTCTATTGTGTACCTCAATAGTTTCTTGTTTGCCAACGATGTCAAACTTCTCGTGTTGGGCGAGTTATGCGCGCTTCCTCGTGCTCGTATCGTTGTTTCTACTGAGACGTTCTGCCCGAGGCATCGAAACAGGAACAGCTTTTGTGCAAAATGGCAACTACATCAAGTTAAAAGAGATCAAGCAAGTTGGACGATTAAGCCTGTAAGCATCTACATTTACCAACGAGCGGGCACACAAAAATAAAACGTATTAGCCACTTTTTTATAAGGAAGACTTCAGCCAGGGTATGAAGTAGCCGGGCTAGAATTATAGATCCGCGATCAAGCGCACTGTGGAAATCGATCGTCAGTAATTTTCGGGACGCGTGGCCCTAAGAATCAAGAAGGTCACATGTGCTCGCTCTTCTGGATACCAAAAGCCTCGCTGGATTTGCAGAACCTATAACTACGCTCGTGCTCATGGCGTTCAAAACGCGTTTGAACACATGCTTGTACAACCATACGTAGCTAACGCGCGTAGCCTTGTCGCCCTTCTTCACATTCCAGTCGGTCTGCTCAAATATTGGTATCGTAAGAAATATATCAGCACTATCCAGTGAAGAACTATCCTGAATAATAATTGCCAATCCCAACTCCTACCTCTTTCAGGTGAAGACCGAATAATTGTCGATCTGGATGTCAACCTAATGCAATGTACTTACAACGATGCATTTTAGAGGGCCAACAGTTGCTGTAGTCGCGCTCGAATTCTTTTAAGGTAGCAGTCTCGTCCATCCTATCTGCACCGTGGCAGGCTTTGCATGAAAATCTAGCAAAAACGAGCATTTTAGCATGCATCAACACGAGATCGTAACAAAATTCTCACCAAAGCGTTGCCGACAAGTGTTTCCTCATCAATACTGAACGAGCTGCCACGCGATTTGGCTGCAAGTAGCATTTCATCCAGGTCGACTTCGTCATAGCGTTAGATTTTAATCGTATAGTGGCTAAATTAGCAAAATGCGTACCACTTAGAAGCACGAAGGCACCTCGAATACAATTACTGCTTGCAAGAATTAGTGCTCAACATAAATATCGTACCTAAGCACAATTAAGCGCCAACACCCTTGCATACAAGTGATCGCACAGAAGGGCTGACAGAAAAACTGGTTTGGCGCCCGAGGATACGGTGCTTGTATGGCACTTGGTGCTAATGGTGAGAATATTGCATATGTTCTCACACTCTCCATCTATCAAAGTGCAAAAAAACCACGCCACAATATTGAGCGCCGCGTTAGTACGATATTGGCACGTCGTATAGAACAACTCATCTGCGCGTCCTAAGGACACCAAGACGCTATCGCACTACTAAACAACCACGCCACAACACAGAGCACCGTATTAGTGCTATTAGATCCCGGCACGTCGCACAAAACAACTCACCTGCGCGTCCTAAGGACACCAAGACGCTCTCGCACTTCCAAACAACCACGCCACAACACAGAGCACCGTATTATTACTATTTTATCCCGGCACGTCGCACAGAACAACTTACCTGCGCGTCCTCAGGACACTAAGACGCCCTCGCACTAATAAATCACAACACAGATCTACATGGCAGTACATGATAGCATATGGACCCGGCACATCGCACATACCAGTTCACCTGTGCGTCCTAAGGACGCCAAGACGCTCTCGTACTACTAAAACATAACAGATCTCCATGTCAGTATAGGATACCATGTTGACCCTCGAACATCGCACGGCACAGACCATCTGCGCGCCCTAAGCACTGGCACCAATGCTCGTTCGCGCCAAAACTTGTGCGCCCCACGCTGCACGCTAATTTTGTAGGAATGTGAAAATTTTACGAAAATATTTGACGTCGCTTGATTTATAATTTTTCGGCCAAGTTAAATGCCACTAATGTGAATATGATTGGTCAAAATATACGAAATGGGGCAGAATGCCCTGTTTGGCACGCTGTTTTCACACCCCGATATGATAAATTTGTCGAAGAGGGTATTTTGCCCCCCTTGACCGCGAAAGGGTTAAAAAAACTGCGGGAAAAAATCGCGAGAGAAATTTTCAATCCATTTTTACAGTGATCCATCCACATCTTATTATGCATCAGCAAAAGCCTGTACATTCAATTTTAGCTTAGGTTCGTGCAGCCTTGTTCCACACCTCAACCAAGCTGCTCATTCCATATTATCAAAAACTTATCGCCCGCTGAGTCTTCTGAGAGCTCCAACCTTCGTCCTGACAAACGGTGCGCAAAACAACCAGTTTTGGAGTAGCTCCATTCGTGCTCGACGAATCCGATGTGGTCAGGGCAACGACACTAGGACTCATCAGATCTGGTATCGTGATTCAAAATACTGATCCGACTACGGTGTGGCTTACTTTTGGCGTGAAAACGTGGCGACGAAGACTCATAGGACTAAAATAACTATTCAGGCTCGCTGTAAGAAGTTTGTACAAGCTTGCAGCTTTTAGCTTATGGTAGACAGCTGTGGCAGCAAGCCAAATCAGGGTGGAAATGCCTTACAACTTTGGCTACGGAGAAGGACAAGTGGGAGCGTAAGATGGCGGTGAGACATCAGCCGTTTGACGGTGAAAATGTTGAAGTGTGGGCTGAACGAGTTGCGCTGAAGTTGCAGAGGAGGAATTTGTGAATGTACTGAACCAAGGAGGTGGGCAAGCTGAAGGAGTCCAAGAACAGCGACAAGAAGGACGCTGTATGGGGAAGCGTAAGTCGCGTTTCACTTAGATCAACTAAACTTTCGTCCGAAAGTACATATTTGCTTACTTCTCTGTCCCACCATTTTAAAGGGATTTCGTTTTTGTGTGTACTACACGAAAATATTACATAGATCCCATTGGCTGATACCGCGTTTCTTCCAATGATTTGATGACATTTTCCTCTGATTTGATACATATCGACTTAACAAGCAGTAAAACCTTTGAAATTAAGCGCATATTAGCGAGTGCTACACACGTCGATCGCAATTATGCTGATGAAATGAGCATTTACTGCAAGTTTTGTAATCTTTCGCAAATATACCTACGAATTCCGAAAAATAACAGAATTCCCCTCAAATATGAGCCCACATTCAAGGCGTTATTTGCTTGCTGGTCGCTGTTATAAAGTTACAAAAGATATAGCGAATAGCACGCTGACTCAAGCTCCCGAATAAGGGTACTTAGACTTTTACCAAGCTCATATAGGTAGTGCTACTTCCAAAAAAGCAAAATCCCTACCAATTGGCGGGACAGAGAAGTAAATTGGAAAGCAAAGCCGATTTCCGGTAAAATGAGAGCTGTTTATTTGTTTGTTTGGGGTTTCCTCCTAATCTAATATTCTAAATGAAAGGTATAATTAGCGCTTGGCTGACAGAATCCTATTATTCTAATTGGTCGAAGATATTGACTTTCAACTAATGAATGCCTTGAATGCATGCATACCAACAGTCTGCCAAATGTATACATTGGTGTATCGCACACCAAGTATAAACCCGAGCTCATTTCGCAATAATCTCGCGGAGGAAGACGCCCACACAAGAGTCTGCTCCGGCAGACCCTGTTACGTCTGTGCCTGCACCTGCAGGCACCACCACTTCCGTGCCCGTGCAAGCGAACACGCCCGCGACAGAAGGTAATCTTTCTGTCACGCAATACCACGCTATGCTTAAGCAAAAGCGCGCACAAGCTACAACTGACAAACCGTCAGTCGTCGTGGAGGGCTCGTCCGTTATGTCTTCTGGTGGAGATATACCCATTGACTATGGGTCTGACATTGAAGACGTCCCTATGGAAGCCGAGGACACCTCGTCTTCAGCTGTCGACTCTAAGTTGACCGAACCAACGCCCGATCTCCCTATTGGTTCGTGGATCCTGAATCGAAGCGTCCGCGCAATGAAGAAGAGGTGCAGTCACCTGTGCCGGTGCCGACTTCTTCCTCGCGTACTACAGCTGCGGTAAGCGCTCTTTGGATGCCAACTGCATCCGAAATCGCTGACAGGTTCGACGCAACATCGCCGCCGAGCCCGATAGGATTTTACGTGTGCAGCGCCATCAATGATGACGCTGAGGCCGACGACATGCACTTTGATTTGTTAGCGAATCAAAGGCGCGACTACTACATCGGACTCTTCCATGAGCTCTGATGGAATGCGTCGAAGAAGACTTCACGCAAAAGCAAAGCGGCACTTTGTCAGTCTTGGAACGTTTTTGCTGTGAGCTTCAATAGCAATGCGAAAGGCTACCGCGGGCTTATTGTCGCGGCTCGCCAGCGCTTCGAGATCTTCTCAAAACGTCATCTCAGCGATCGTTTCCATATTGACGCTATGGACGCGACAACCCCCTGCGCAGTTCCACCTGAAACTGCGTGTTCGCAATGCCATCTCGGGGAAGTGCGCTTTTCTGAACGCGATGTTCTCGGGTACACTTCCGTACGTGTACCCGCTCCTCTGCGAGACCTCCGTGCTCAACTTGAGCACCCCGTGCTGGTGGCACTCGCAGCTTTAGTGCAGACATTATGCTTGCACTCGGTTCTGGTCCTCGTAAGCCCTCACCATTTCGGAACGTCCTTCATCAGGACGTCCCGTGGCTCGAATGTATCTCGAAGCGGAGGATATCCTCCTGAACGAATACGAAGACGAGCCTGATCTCGGTTCGTCTTCGGGGCTTCATAGTTCACGACTCGCTCGCCAGTCCAACGTGTCGAGCCGTGTGCGTCACGCAGCGGCGGTGGCGGGGGCGGAAAGATACCCTCCGTATGGTCAACCCCAGGTTGACCATGGCTCTCGCGCTCTGGACGATCGTGTCGTCGATCTTGCCCGCGTAATTCTCAGCACAACTACGTACATGTAGTAGACTAACTTTGCTGCATTCGAAATAACTAGACAGAAAAACAAATTAAGTTACACTTACGTCATCGGTTTTTACTGTAGCAGCGGTGGCTCCAACTTGGAACTTCAAAGGCAATTTGAAAACATCAGCACTCGAAGTCAACGTATGGAATATCTTGGTCATGGAAACATGGAAAGGATCATGGAGCACATCATAGCGGTGAGCTTCGTTGCATCACTGCAAGATGAATCCCCCTGCAGACTGCATTGAAATTCCACCACCAGCTGCAGTTGATCGTGACTGAATAGTGGCCTCAATTATGCTAGTGCTCCACAAGGAAACACGCATGCAGGTTGAAGCCTATCCATTGATCGCCGACACGAAGGGTTGCAGTAGAGACGGCAAGAACCAAACGTTGTTCATTGCATTTCATGCATGCTACCAAGTAAGCTTAGTACAACCTTTTTTCAACCCAAAATGCCCCACTCACAGCAAACATCGCGTCGTTGGGAAGACTGGACGTTCAGTCACAAGCACCGTCGTCCCCGACGGCAATCGAAGACTTTGGGACTGCTAACACCTGACCGCATTGGTGATCACCTTGTGGCTCGCTGCATGGCGCTCGATAACTTTCGCGCTCGAAATCTGAGTAAAATGTGGCTTCCGGAAGTGCTACAGGGCTCACGGATGACTTTCGGGTCGCGACAAGTCTTTCAAGGCATCGTTAACGCGGTAAGCGATCAAATCGATGCTGTCATCACGTACGAGAACGAGTCCAATGTGCTCGTTCAGTTGGCGCAGACTGGGTACATCGTGCAGCAGATTTCAAAGCTGAACCGCCTATTGGACGTCGCGTTGACAGTGTACAACATCAAAGAACCTCACAGTATGGTAAAGTGGCAGACTGTTCTCCAACAAGAACGTCAAGAGCGAATGACTAGATTCCAGAAAATGATGGCGAACAAAAAGCTTTTGATGCAAATGCTGGGCGACGAACAGCAACAATTAAATATATTAACATTGCTACTGTACGACTTCCAGAAACACGGCGACGACACGTACACAGACTTGGAGGGCGACGTCATCAGTGACGTTTACGATACGTGTGTAAATCTTTCGGGTCTTACAGTGGTGACAGTCCCGGAATGGCTCGTGCCGGCCCATGAAATTCGCCAGAATCGGTGGCAAGACACTGAAGTTAAGGTGGAGAAGTTGATGAACCGAAATGAAGAGTTTTGTATTCGACAAGCTTCTGCCTGGTGGAACTTGCATCACCCTCACGTCATGAAGCTGTTTGGGGCATGTCATGTTGGAAATGATCTTTTTCTGGTGCATGAGAGCGCTCAAAGCGTCAACAAATCGGTCTCAAGTCGAGATGTCGTGCTTGGAACTGCTCGTATCCTCCAGCTCCTCCACGAACGATACGTCGTGCCGACGAAGCTTACAGTCGAGCGATTATCCTCCAACAAAGTAAGGCATCACAGTAGAGAGCTGCTTTCATCTCCTGTGATCACTCCCAGTGTGGTTTTCAAGAAACAACAGCTGACAACTAGCCCCGTAGTATCCGTATGTCCTGCCTTCTTGAAGCCCAAGGAATGGAGCCTCATTCAACATATCGACGAGCTCGACAACGCTTTTGATACTAAGCACAGCAAGCCTCACTGGCATTTTTGGAGTCGGAAAGTACATCAACAACCGCAAACTGGGCCTTGTGTCGTGAAATACACGTCAGATTTCGTCGACCCGAAGTTTAATTTGTCAGTGGCGAGAATGTTTCAAGCGATCACGGACAAACTCAACCAAGACAAAAGTTACACTTCCTTGATGTTAAATTTCATCTTCGTCCGTCTCATGAGCGTGCATCAACAGTTGTTGGGTTCTATTCGCTCGAAAGAATTGATTCGTTCCTTTGTGGAGATCGTCATGCGGTTCAAGAGGTCATTGACACACCGTAATGACAGCAACAGCTCTTCTTTCTGCGTCGCATTATCCCGCAGTATGGAGCACAGTAAAATGTCATTCCACAGCGACGGGTGGAAATTTTGAGTCGGGTACTTTTATATTTTGAATCGGATACTTGCGAAATTATATGCTCGATCGGATACTTATGAGTTGGTTACCCTGGTTAATAGTAACCTGCTCAACCAGCAAAAGTGACCAACATGATGTTCATGTCGTGTAAACCAAGGTAGTATTCACCACTTGAAACTGTCACCAAACTTAAATTATTAGTAAAAAAAATGTTTGGTAGCAAGTCAAAGACTAAAGTGTCATATTTAATGGGAAAAAATGTTGCGCAGTTGATTTCTGCCAAGCGAAGAAATGGGTCTGAACGTCGCACTATCTGAAGGGAGCAAGCACATAGGTAAGAGACGAGAACTGAAGCAGTTGATCGCTGCTAAAGTACTCATTAATCATTACATCCGCATTCTGTGACACGTCCAGCTTCAAAAACTCAGTCTGTCTTCACGCGTTTCACATCTTCATCCCCATCACTATCACTGTCGTCCTACACGTTATAAAAAAACACCGACACAAGTGTCAATAACCCAGTCCAACCTGCCAATCAGTACCAAGAGCGTACCTGTTCCAATGTTCGCTTCACTCCGCCACCATTCATACTATCATCGGAGCTCGTCGCCCCCTTGATGGCTACATCTCGTTCTGCAGGGATCAAATGCGCCGGTGTAATGTGTTTCGAGTTGGCCATCACTGTGTCGTAGCAGTACTTGTGGAAGATCGTCTCTTGCTGCTCGTCTCCTCCAGGTCCAGTGTTATGAATCGTGCCAGCCACCGCGTTCGTGTACATCCAGTCCTCCTCTTCCTCATCCCAACTTCTTGAAAAGTTCTCGCCACAGATCCGACAGCGTGTGATCGTCTCGTCCACTGGCACACTGGCGTTCTCCCATGAAGCCTGCTCTCCTGCGTTCTTCTCGTTCTCCTTCTGCGTTCTGTCGAAGAAGCTGCTACTGGTGCTTTCACGCGGTGCCGTGTCTCCCGAGAAGTCGGCCACCCACTGATCTTCATCCGGATACCATGATCTGGACACGCCTCCTTTGCCTCGCTCTTTACGGGCACGGTTATACTGGAAGAGGAAGTCCAGATGGGCGTCCAGTTGAGCTTGTTCACGGAAGCGTAGTCCACTCGCACGACACACAAGCGGTAAGGCGGCATACAGCTTCTGGACGTTGGACTCGACACGGTCTTTGTGAGCCACAATCTTGTCACTGAACCACATCCGAGAGGCATTATCACTGCGTGGCATCTGCTCTCCTTGTTGTTGTGGCTGCTGCGGTATCTGAGGCTGAGCAGGAGGAGCTGGTGGGTTCGACGAGCCGCCATTGGACAACCCCTTGAGTTTCTGAAGAATCGACATGACGGCAGCAGCGTCAGGAGCTCGAGGTGGGTCGTTAGTGATCTCTTGGACTGGCTGAGGAGGGGAAGGAGCGCGTTGCTTGCGCTTGAGTAGCTGCATCAGATGAGCAACATTAGAAGACTTGGCTGAGCTGTCGGGGGCTCTCTTACTAACTACCGTGCTAGCCCGAGGTGGCTCTACACGAGTCTGAGGCACAGACGCTGGTGGCTGAGCACGAGCCCGAGGATCACGTGGCGGGTCTCGAGCTACTGGCGTCTGTTGCTGTGGAGGTGTTCGTCTAGGTCTCTGCACTGCAGTAGCAGGCTCTGCCTTGGAGGCGGCATGGAACTCGAGTAGCTGGTTGTAATAATCTGGGTTATTCGTACGCACTTCCTCAAGACTCATGTGCTCGGTCGGGTGGATCCCCATGTCGTTCTGAAGCTTCGTGAGCAGCGAGCGCAGCTCCATGTCTTGTTGTTGCTGAGCCAGCTTGGCCCTCGACTGTTGCGTCGACTTTTCTTGATTAATACTGGCAGGCACCGACCGAGTCGATGGATCCGCTTGTTGCATGGCGCGGTTCGCGGCGCTGCGCATCTGCGCGATGGCGTCGGCGTTAAACAACCGCGTTGTCTCCCACGTGTTGAGCACATGAATGAAGCGCTTGAGGTCTTTGCCCGACACCTGCAGATTAGAATAAAAAATATATAATTTAAGTTACTAAAACTTTTATTTTTCTTATCATCTGCAAGCTTCGTACCTGACGCACACAGTTGCAGTAGAGAGGCACGATCTTGGCGGCGAATAGCGCGACGTACGGGCCACGCACGTTCTTGAGGATGGAGTCCGTTAAGTAAAAGATTGGCAGCTTGCAATTAGGCGCGACCTGGGGAGAAATAAACAACAAACAAAGCAGCATCAGCTTCCTGTATGCTCACTACGAAGCGCTGAAGCCTGCTCAACGTCGTGCAATCTCTCCATCTCTCCTGTATGACTGTAACTACACGAGTTCTCGATAGCAGGGCAGTTTTTACGCGAGCACTAGAGCTCAGAAAAAGAGACCTCCAATAGAGAATACATTGAGAGAAGGAGAGGGACAGAGGAAGCAGAGTCTTCTCTTTTGGACGCTCATTTACCCGGTGGATCTTGGTCTCCAGGAAGCTAACAATCTCAGGCGCGAGCTGCGAGCGCTCGGCCAGCATCGTCAGCGCGTTGATCGTGTCCTTGGCCGGGTAGTCCATCATGGAGTTGATCTGCGCGTCGAACTGGCCCAGTAGCGTCTGGATCTCCGTCTTGTGCGTGGACGTGGGGCCGGAGCTGGCGCCGCCACTGGGCGTAGATGAAGCAAGCTGAGCCATCGCCATCGGTCGAGAAGCTGCGTGGACTGGGAGTGGAGTGCGGGCGAGAGGCGAGGAAGCAGGCACTTGCGTGGTCTGGCTGGCTTCTTGTCTAATACGCGGTATGAGCTGCTGTAATTTAAAGTTTCAAGTCCTGATCATTTTGGTGATAATTGTAATTAATGAACTAAAAGGGAGCAAGTTTCCAGTACAAACAGCTGATTGAAGCATTCTTTGATAACATTTACAAATATGTATCTATCAATTAAGTATGTAGCCGTAATTCTGATAAACGAGCCAAGCAATGCTGCTACGAGCTGCGCGGTTGTCGCGCCCACTTGCTCGCCCCTTCTCAGATGACGCGTGGAAGTTCACACACGTGAGTCGTGACGGCACGTCCCCGCATATGGTAGACGTGGGCTCCAAGAAGGTGACGCGACGCTCAGCCACAGCTCGTTCAACGATCCGCTTGCCTCCTTCAGTTCTTGCAGAGCTGCAGAAGCTCGGAGACGACCAGTTAATGGGTCCCAAGGGTCCTATCGCCTCCACCGCTGTTATCGCTGGGGTCTTAGGCGCCAAACAGACGAGCGCACTCATCCCGTTCTGCCATCCGCTGCCTCTGGAGGACTGTCAAGTGCGTCTGGAGGTCACGGGACCTGACACCATCGACGTTGAGTGCCAAGTGAAGGTCACACACAAGACTGGCGTCGAAATGGAGGCGCTGACAGGCGCATCTGTTGCCGCACTCTGTGTCTACGACATGTGCAAGGCATTGAGCCACGAGATCGTGATCGAAAACACGCGTCTCGTGGAGAAAACCGGCGGTAAGAGAGACTTCTCAGATGATAAATAGTTTTATAATGGAGCACAAGTTATCCGTTAGAGGCAGCGTATCCCTCATCGGACTCGTAGCCCAATTCTTCCTCCATTTCGTCGTCCGATTTGTTAGTTGGAGCAGGTTTGGGAGGAGAAGTGTCTTCGATCTCGTCGTCGGCGTATTCTTCTTCATTATCGTCTTCGTACTCGTCAGCAGAAGTTTCTGCTTGAGCACTTGGCTTGTCTTCAATAGGCGGAGAGCTTTTAGTAGCTGCAGCAGCGTCGTCATCCTCGTACTCGTTGTTGTACTCGTCGTGATCGTCTGCGTACGTCTCATCGGGTGCATCCTCCTCCTCTTCGATCTCTTGCTCGCGCGCAGAAACAGGAGGCTCAACAAGCGTCGCAGGTGGCGTCACAGGGTGCGCACGTGGAGTTTCAGCCGCCGCCTCGTTGTCGTCGTTCTCGTACTCTTCCTCGTTCTCGAACTCTTCGTTTCGCTCGTTCTCATACTCATCTTCAGTTGCTGGCGCGTCCGTGGCGACAGGAGCGGCTGGCGCTGGGATCTCGACGCTAGGACCATCAATCGGAGCTTTAGACTCGTTGTCCTGATCAATAAATTCATTGTAGCCGTCGTCATCGTCGTACTGGTCTTCAGCCTCGATTGGATCGCGGAGCGTGTCTTGAGTAGGTTCGGAATTGCCCTCGGTGGCTTTAGTTACCTGCTCTACTTCAGCCATAGGAGCTTCAGCCTGTGACACAGGCTCTGGTGACGCCTCGATGGTTACAGAGCGTCCCTCCATTCTTTTCTGTCGATGCGCTGTCGTCCGGGGAAGCAATCGGTGGCTCGTCAGCTGGAGCCTCATCTTCAGTAAAGTCAGGTTCTTGACCCTGTTGTGTCTCTTCAGTTGGATCGGTCGTCTCGCCTACTTCTGAAGTAGTTTTGTCGGATACAGGTCCATCGACCACTTCTTTCTCGACTACTTCGCTGGGAATTTGAGACTCATCTGCTGATTCTTTAGCGACAGCGTCTGGTTTGCTCTCAACCTTTGATTGAGTAGGCTCATCTAAAGTATCTCCGGCCGAGACTTCGGTTGCAGGTACATCGGCGGTAGGACTGGCGCGTTCGACGGGATCTTCGCCTAAACTCGAGTCAGCAGCACCGTCTTTTGTCTCCACTGCGTCTTCTGTAGTTTTTGTAGCAGCATCTCGTTCTTCTATTGAGCTCGGGTGGTAGGCATCTATCTGAACAGCCACTGCAGGTTCGATGGCTGTCTCCATGGCAGGTGACTCTACAGCGTCACTCACAACAGGCTCGGCGGATTCTAACGGCTCTGCGTGGGAGTCTTCTTCGTCGGGTCTTGGTGCGGCAGCTTCTTCAGGAACGACGTCACTGATCAAGCTTTCCTCTGCAGGTTTTGGAACAGAGTCTGAATCAACCGTATTCTCTGACTCTACAGCAACAGATTCGACAGCATCAGGCTCTGCAGCTTTTGGCAAGATAGCCACAGGATCAACTTCGGATTGTACTGTGCCACTATCGACCGCTTTAGTCTGGACAGATTCCTTCGGCTCGACAGTTTCAGGATCCACAATTTCATCCATGCCTGCTTCAGGCTCAATATTCTCTGACTCGACAGTCTCTGACTCCACTTGTTCAACCTCCGCCGTCGGTTCCGTTGGTGCAGCTTCAGCTGTGTTAGCAACATCAGCCTTTACGTCAGCTGGTTTCATGTCCAGCTCATCGTTGGCAGCTTCATCTTGATGCATTTGTTCGTCTCTAAAAGCGACATCACCCTCGGCAGTCTCTGGAACGGAACTGCGCTCGGGGTCAATAGTATCGGCGTCGGCCTCAGCAGTAGAGCCAACAGCGCTCGTAGAATTAAGTGTATCAACACCAGGAGCCGTATTTTCCTCGTCGAACCCATCTTCGTATTGCTCGTCAGTCGACGGCACATCAGGAGCTGCATCAATGTCCTCTGACAGTTGTGCCGAGTCCTCGACATGTTCATCTGAAGTCGCTTTGGATTCGTCGGCAGGAATCGCAGCTTCAGCCGGAGTATCGTTTTTACCGACTCCTTCCTTCTCTGTTGATACCGTTCTACTGTCATCGGTACCATTCTCATTTGCTTCTGCAGAAACGTCGTCAGGGAAGTCTTCGTCGTACGCTGTGGCGTCTGAACTTGCCGCACGAGGTTCATCTTTAATCTCGGTCTCTGGAGTCGCCACATCATTCGTATCTTGACCCACACTAGAAGGAGGATCGTCGATCACTGCTGCTGTTGGATCACGTGTAGGTTCTTTATCCGCTCCCGCAGCAGCGTCCTCGATGGTGTCTGGTACTGCTTCTGACGTTTCTCCGGCGTCTTCGTCTTCTTGGATTGTACCAGGCACATCCACGGCTTCTTCTAGCGTTGCTGGCTCCTCAGAATCACCGTTCACCGGTCCAGTCCCCTCATCCTGAGCAGGGGGAGTGTCATCTGGACTCGCAGTGTCCGCTGGCGTGGCTTCCTCGCTTACTCCATCATGCTCCTTCTCAGATTCCCCATCTTTCAACGCAGTTGCATCGTCCTCTGCATCATCAAACTCGGCGTCTTCGTACTGAGCCTCCTCTCGTGTAGCATCTACCTCCTCTTGTGTAGCATCTACCGAGGGTTCTACCGAAGCGCCAGCCTCTACAACCGGAGCTGGATTAGACTCTGGGGAATCGTCATCAAAAGCTTCATCTGGAGGGTACTCCTCACTTTGATCCGGCTGGTCTTCAGCTCCAATTGGAAGTTCGGACTGAGCTTCAGGTGCCGGTACAATTTCAGTTCGATCGATACCAGCAGCTTTTTCTGAATCGGAGCCCACGTCGGGTTTGTCACCAGCAGAGGTTGGATCATCTCCATCACTAGGCCGCTCCTCTGACGTATCTCCCTGCCGTTCGGACTCAGATGGCGCCATTTCCACAGAGTTGTCCACTTTATCTTTAGCTGGTGACTCGACTTGTTCTCCAGCATCTTCAGACGGGGTTTCGGTCGCCACATCAGGTACGTCTGCGTCTTCAGAAGCGCTTTGTTCCGGGTGAGCGTTTGTCTCTGATTCAGCTTTAGGTGGAGTAGAATCGGTCTCTGCAGATACCACTTCATCACTGGGTTGTCCTGATACAGGGACATCCGAGTCTTCACCTCTCGAGACTTCCTCGTTGGGTACAAAAGTAGCATCTTCGGTCTTCGCACTTGGTGCGGCTTCTTCATGTTCATCGCCCTTGTCAAACTCGTCATCATCGTAGGCTTCTGCTTGTAACGGAGATTCTTCTTCCTCGTGTGCAGCCACAGGAGGAGCAGCTTCACTTTCTAAATGGTCAGTAGCGATGTCAGTAGGAGTCTCCCCCGCTCGAGCATTGTCTGAAGTCTCGCCTTCTTGCTCTTTTTGATCGGCCACTTCAACTAGTTCATCGACTGGGGCCGCAGCAGATCCGCCCTCTGCTTCACTCAGCTTTTCTTCTTGCTGGGGTTCCTCGTCATCGAAATTGTCCACATCGTATGCAGCAGCGGCAGCAGATACAGCATCACCGTCGCCATTATCCACTTGTCCATCATCTTTGTACTCGTCTGACTCAGCAGCCACAGGTTCTTGGGCACGTTGAGTCTCCTCTTGGGCCTCTGCATTAGGAACCTCATTTTCTGCTACTGCCAACGGAGTATCAGCGACACCGTCGGACTCGGGAGTAGCTTCAATGTCCTCTTGCTGTAGTACTGCGGACGGTTTGTCTACCGTCTCCTGTACCGAAGGATCGATGGCTTCTTCTCCTACGTTGTCTTGTTCGGGGTTGTCAAAATCTTCATCTCCGTAGGTCTCCGATGGTGCAACCGGCGCTTTCTCATCTGCTGCCACTTCCGCTAGCTTGACATTCTCGCCGTTCTCTGGTGCTGCAGCTGCATCGTCAGCTGGTGCGACAGACTCGGGTGGAGTTTCTATCGTAGCGTCCTCAGCGAGCACTTCAGCACTACTTGGCTCCTCCTGAAGCGCTTTATCCTCAGTGTCGTCAGCCTGCGCTTCTTGGTGGCCATCGCCAAAAACCTCGTCGCCGTAAGCTGCAGACTGAACGCTGACCTCGGAGCTATCGGCAGCTAGCGTCTTCGATTCCTCCTCCTCTTCATTAAGTGCGTCTGGAGTAGTAACGACTGCGCCAGCTTCAGTATTATCGGAGGCTTCTGCTTGTTGCTGCTGCTGATTGGCCACTTTCACTGCTACTTCAGCAACAGGATTTGCCTCAACTTTCTCACTTGGCTTCGCTTCTTTATCGGCTTCCTCGTCGAAGTTGTCCTCGTCGTACGCGATCGAATGAACACTAGCAACGGAGCCATCTGCGGCCAGTTGTTTAGCCTCCTCCTCTTGGTCTGGTGAAGGCTCAGTAACGTCATTTGTCAGCGGTTCGTCTGGCTGAGCATCCGTACTTGTCTCTTCCTTCGACCGATCTTCTTCTTGCTGAGGTTGCTCTGGATTCGCTGTTGCTTCTTCCGTAGCAGGTTCCATCGAGACATCTTCAGTCGGAGCAGACGCCATTGAACTGTTCTCCTCAGGCTGAGCAGTAGGCTGAGTGTCGTTCCTTGGATCTTCCGTTTCGGCTGGTTCCATTGCTGATGTAGAGCTCGTAGTTTTTGCCTCAAGCTCGTCACTACCTCCATCCGGGGCAACGTGTCCATCTTTGGCGGGCGGAATATCAATGTCAGTCTTAGCATCGGCAACGGCATCTTCTGGATCGCCTGGTTCAGCCACGAGATCGGTGTTCAAGCTCACAGGCTCCTGTTCTTCTTCGGAGTTGCTAACGAATGGGTCTTCACCACTTGATGGGGTACCACCGACAGTATCGGCCTTTTCGTCGGCTTCGAGCTGTGGCTTTTCACCTTCTCCACCTCGGTCAGCTGAAGCTGCAGTATCTTCTTCTTCTGCAGCGGCAACAGGAGCCTCCTCTTTTGCAACCTGCTTATCCATCACGCCAGGCAACTCTGCAACGGGGCCTTCCACCGGTGGATCAGCAATAGTATCTGTTGGCTCTTCACCTTCCTTGGCTTCGGCTATAGCTGCAGCAGACGCTTCTTCAGCCTCCTCAGTCTGGGCTGGCTCGTCCTCATCGAATTCGTCATAGCCATCATCGTACAGAGCTTCACCACTTTTACTCATCTGCATGTCTGTTAGAGGTTCCAAGGTCTTTGCTACAGGTGTCTGAGCATCTTCAGCGTCGGCTGTCATTTCCTCATCTTCGCCCCCATTGTCGTCAAAATCGTTAAAGGCGTCACCATACATAGCATCGACTGCCGCAGTAGCTTCGCTTGGCTGGTCTTCAGACGCTGCACTCAGTTCTACCAAAGGAGGTTCGCTTGACTGCTGTGTATCTTCAGACGGGACTGTAGCGACTGCAGTTTCCAGAGCTTCTTCTTCTTCTTTTGCAAGTGGCATCTCAGCTGCAGTGTGGACGTCCTCGGCTTCAATTGGTATGGACTCAGCACTTTTATCGGTAGTACCATCTGTAGCTAAGTCTCCCGTATGTAGCACAACCTCCTTCTCTTCCACGTCTGCGTCTGTTGCTAGCACAGCATCCTTCTCCATCTTCGCAGTATCGTCGCAACTTGGCTCAACCTGCTCAGTGGATTTCGTTTCTGCCGGTACCGTGACTTCCTCGGCTGGTGTAGCTGCACTGTCAACATCACGTTCCGGCTCTGTGGCCTCCGGAGCTGTGATAACGGTAGAAATATCGACTGGTTTAAACTCCACGACAGACTCTTTTGGCTTTTCAGCAACCTGCTTGTCGATCTCCTTGACTGCCTTCGCTGCAGGTCGAGGTTTTGGGTCAGTTGATGTCTTTGGAGTCACCGCAGCTCGAGAAACGACAGGCTTTGGTCGTGAGACCACAGGAGTCGAAAGAGCATCGCTAGAGGCAGCAGCACGCTTGGTTGGCTTTGCAGGTCTTGTTTCTACAGCCTCTTGAGGCGACAGGTCCTTGCGCTGCTTCGGAGTACTGCTTGTTGTCGTGCGTGTCTTCTTCGCCTTCGGACGCGTGTCTTCCGAGAACTTTACCGACACTTGTCGTGTCTTCCTCGCCGTTCCAGACCCGGCACTGGACTTGTGCGGCCGGTGTACTGTGTCCACAGACATGGGCGTCGTGTTGCCGTTCGCCAGACTCGACTTGGCTTTATCGATCATTTTGTGTAGCTTTTCGGCAAAGCTGAGTCGCTCCCGTTCCCGAATCTCTTCCTTCTCTCGAGGTGTCAGTCTGGAGCTTGCCGTGTAGCTCGATCCTCCTCGAGCCGCGCTGTCCTGGAACAAGTGTGTAGCGAACTCGTTCAAAGACTCGGACGAAGGATTATTGGATCTCGCAGTCATGGACGCATGGTTAGCAGCAGAGATCCGCTTCTGACGAGCTCTCGCCGCTCTCTTCGTGGTTGCACCCAAGCGCTGAGGTGACAGATGCGATCTCTGTGACTCCCTGGAAACCAGCAGCTGGTTGTCACTCTCGACTTTCACTTGGAAGGCTGTTTGGCTGTTCTTCTTCCTCTTGGGTTGTCTCACTTCAGGATTGTATATTGAGTTATGCGAGTCCTCGTCCTCGTATCCCCATCGACCATCGCGCTGTGAGTACGCAGACCCGTGATCCACGTGACTTGAGCGACTTGACAAGGGTTTGATACTCGAAGGAAGATGCTGGTGGGGCGTTGCCCACGTCGATTCAGCAGATGAAAGGTGTGCCCGGAGCTGTCGTCGCTTGGTGCCGTAAGGTCTACTATTGAAGCTGGTGGGGGCTCCCTGGACCCCGTAAGCTTCGAGTAGCTCATTTTGTCGCTCTTCTCTGGACTTCCTGCGTTTGTGGACCGAGTTCAAGCCACTGTCAGCGCCAAAGCCCCCATCCAGGATGACCAGATTACTCGGAGGCTGAGGCGCGTAGTTGTAAGCGTTCATATCGCCAGTCGAAGATTGTCTGTACGGCGACGCAACGTTGGAAAAGGCTTGGGTATTTCGATACGCCTTACTTGAGCTGTAAGCTGCCCCACGTGGATGTGACGACGCTCCATAGCCACTGGAAGGAACGTTCTTCCGCTTCCCCGTGCCTGCTGTTCGTCTGGGAACGCTTCTCTTTGTTAGAGGCTTAGCTATTGGAGTGTGTTCAAGAAACTCGGCTTCTCGTAGGATTTCGGTAGCAGTATCTTTGATTCTCTTTGTAGGCGATTGGCGAACACTGCACAGTGCAATCTGCTTGGAGGCAGCAGCTGAGTACTTTTGAATGCTCGGCTCGGTCGGGTACCTCGCCATGACAGTTGAGAGCTCGGATAGCCCATTAAGACTCAAAACTGATGCAGCCGCACGTCTCCCACTCGCTGCCAAGCTGGACAAAGGAAGCGATTATTAGTTACGGCTACAGTGCCAGCTCTGAGATAGTTACATGTTGATCTTACCACATGAGCAGGCTGCCAACTGCACAGCAAGCTTTCTTGTCGTCGAGTGAAAGTCCTTGACGTAACAAGAAGAGAAGAAGAGAAGTAGGAGACATGTCGCCTGTAAACTCCTCGTCCTGCTCGCCACAGAGAAGATTCAGAGTCTGGAGATCGTCCAGCTCACACAGCTCCAGTAGAACTGTAGTACGATAACAGAAACAAGTTGAGATCAGCTGCTACCTGACAGATAAACAACGTCATTGATGCCGTACCTTCACACCCGTAATAATGCACTTGTCGGGTGTGCACACTGTAGGTTTTGTGGTAGATGAGAGTAGCCAGCACCAACTGGGCCACTTGGAACTCGATGAGGCTGTTCAGACCAGAGTGAACCCTCGTAAATACAGCCAGAGCTCCACAAGCGGAGGCCTGGAGGATCGCATCTTCCGCAAACTCGTTCATTGCTTGGATCACCAGCTCCACTACTCCATTTCGTAACAGATAATGTGTGCTCTTTACACACAAGAAGCACAGTCGCCGTAGAAGAACGAAGCCATAACACTGGATAACGGCATGCGACTGATGAAACTTGAGCGACTCGATGATCAGACGCTCGCCACCACGTTCATGGACCAAATCGGCGGTGACTTGGGGGTAGGCCCGCATGTGCTTCACCAAAGTGGAGAGGACTGACTTGGCGGACGCTGCATCGCCAAGCCGCTTCTCCAGTAACTCGAGCGAGTCGATGATGTACACACGCTCCGCGTTAGACGATACTTCGGTATCCTCTTCGGTACGATGGGCAGGCTCATGTGGATCCCGTTTAGAAGAATAAAAAACCTTCTCTGATGGTTCATCCCGTTCATTTTCTTCATGAAATTTTTGAGGCTCCTCCATTTCAACATCTTCCTCTTGTTGTTCTGGTGGATGGGGAGCTGCATCATCCGCAGTGCTACTTGGAACCTTCTCCTCGTTCTCTGCTGGTTCCTCGGCTTCTTCTTCTTCCTTGGGCTCCACGATGTGCTCTATCTGTACGTCCTCTTCCACTTCTCCATCATCGTAGGCGATGGTATATTTTCCATTTTCCTGCACGTCAGAAATTTGACCGGAATAAAATTCATTTCCGCCGTCGTATCGCCCGAGCACGCGTGTTCCAACGCAGATCGTGCCAGTCACGTGCTGGCGAAGATATTGAGGACGCACAGCCATCTCGACCTCTCCGTCGTCATATAACACTTCAAATGTGACGTCTTCTGCGTTCCCACCTTGATGAACGCAGCGTACTCGCCCCGGGTACCACATCTCGTCGGTGTTTTCATCGTACAAGCCGTCAACTCGCTCGCCCACACGGTAGATCGCCGTCATTTCGCGCAGAGGTCCGGGGTTCTCCCTCTGCTTCAGCTACTGTAGACTGGGCGATTGAGCCTGCGATAACCGACCAAGACGGCCGTTCGTTTCTTCTATTGCTCCATTATTGGCATCGGACCCTCTCCTCTGTCAAGTCTCGTCTCTTCGTCCCATAACCGTCCGGTGTCACAATCAAGCACTGCATCACCGTTAAATATCAATGTGTCTACGTTCTCATACAATGCGATCGTACTCATGGCACCCTCTGCTAAGAATAAAAGCAGTAGCACGAAATAATACTTTAGTCTACACTTCATCAAGTAAACTGCACACAAACTTTAGATAATCAATCAATATAAAATAAAAAAAGCAAATAAGATTCCATTCGTAAGACCTCGGGACCGTCGACTCTCCTGCAACTTGAGGCAAAAAATGCAGCTCCGTCACGAGACATGAGAAAGCAACCCTCAGGTAGAATTCCTCGCATAGCATTCTTCTCCTCTCCCACGCGCTCTCAGCTCATGGACATCATGGGTTGCTGCTGAGTTTGTACCATCTGCGGTTGGCGCGTCTTCCCCGCGCGGATGTCGGCTATGAGCTGCATGACCTGCTGTCTGTCAGCCTCCACCTGCGCTATGCGTCGCTCCACAGGCCACTCCTCAAACTTGTCCTTTATCTTGGCTTTAGCCTCCTGCAGCTCGCGTCTATCGCTCTCTCGCTTGCGTGCAATCTTGTCGCGTAGATAGTCGCACTGCGAGACGGCGCAGCGCTGGCCCAGAGGTGTTTGGCACGTCTTGGCATGGAAGCAGAGCAAGCCCCAGATCTTGGAGCACATCTCGCAGCTGTGCAGAGGCAATCGGAGGCATAACAGTGTTAAATCGGCGTATAAATAGTAAAAATAATGCGATATGCACCTCTCAATAGGTTGATATTTGCGGCGAGGCCCGTAGCAACGCACAAAGTGGTCAATACTGGCCTTGACCTTGTGGCAGCGTCCGTTAAGCGCCTCGCACTTGGACTCTGGACATGTGGCTGCGTGCACCAGCGCCTCATTGTACACGCGGAACTTCTCCTCGTGTGAGGAGCCGCCGTGGTCCTCCATCTGCACGTCCATCGCTGGCGAAAGGACTCGACTACAGTTCTTCCTGTTGCTTGTCTAAGACCTCAAGCCGGAAAAACAATAATAGACAAGCGACCTCTCTTGTCAGATATAGTAATTGAGGGGAAATTAAATATAGAATGATTGAGTTTGTGTGTTTAAGCCGGAAAACCTCGTGTTTTCCGAGCAATTCCGAGTAAAAAAGAAGGGCTTCGCATGCGGTACTTGGAAACCTCCAAGTAAGAATACAGAGGGAGCTGTGGTTACTGATGTCGTATTTGGCTGAAGTTGCCGGCTCGACATCTTATTCGCACGCGTGACGACAAGCGACAACATGTTGGTGTGGAGGTTCATATTGATACTACTACTAGTAGGGAGCTAACTACCTGATGTTGTAGTACTTCTTAAATAGGTGCGCTGACAAGGGTGCACACTGCTTGCATACGCTCAAGACCACGAGCGTATCCTAGGCCGTCACGTCAAAAACTCGCGGGGGTCGGACCCTCAGAGGGGAAGGCTCTCCCGTCAATTATGCGGAGCAAGTGCGGGCCTTGGGCAGGTAGTGCGGCTCGCTCGTTGCGAGGTGGTAGTTCTCGACCACTTTTTGCTGCTGCGGGTCGAGGTCGCTGAAGCCCTCAAGACACTTCAGTGGGATCTGGCGTACGGACTTGTAGCACTCGACGTGATGCCAGTTAATGCACACGAAGCCATTGCGGTGTTGGTAGACAACGCCCACGCGCAGTCGGCCAGCCTCGATCGTAACGTCGCACGACTTGCAGCAGGCATGCGCCTTGCGCGTGGCCTCGATGATGTAAGTGCCGTCCTTCGTCCAGGGCGAATCCATGGCGCTCGGACTTGAAGGGCTGCCGATGGGGCTCGCACTGCGAACCTCCATTTGGGTCATGGTAGGCAATGAATTGAGAGGAGGAGCGAGTCGCAGGCACAACGGATAAAGAGAAGTGAGCCAGCAAAGGTCCTGCGCTGGAACCACTTGACGCTGTGGCACTTCTTTGTGTTGCAGAGTTGGGCAATGCCCACCAGCTGGCAGACGAAGCAGAGCAGGGCGCGTGTTTTACAGAGAGCAGCATCTGCCCGAAAACGGCCCGAAGGCCGGCGGCTGCGGTCTCGCTGCGACAACCAACGCCATCGCCTCACGTCGCCACTATCAGGTCGGACTATGAAGATCCAATGCTATTGCTGGAGGTGACATGGGCACCATCGAGTTGCGGCCGTTACGGCGCTCGGTTGACCGCGTCGCCGTTCTCGGTTCTCACGGGAAAGTCTGCACGCTTCACTAGGACAGCAATCGCACAACGTACATGTCCTCGCGTCGGCAGATTCGCTGGCGGTATCCGAAGAAGAGCTACATTTACGTTGCTGTGGTCCGAGCGAGCATATCCAGTCCTGATAGGTTAGAAATTCGTGCAAATTCGCTGGACAGCGAGAGCGACGTTTACGTTGCGAGCAAGCATATCCAGTAAATGTAGGTTGGAAATTCAAGCAAATCGGATTCTGAGCTGAATTGGCGGTTTCTTTTCAGAATTTAGACAGATTTTCACTAAGGCGGCCGTTTCGTAGACCGGTTCCGACGCAGTTATCTGTGGCAACATGTCGCCGACTGTACTAGTCGCGCTTCCTCAGGATGGCACCACTACAGCGAACGTTCTTGATGGCAGAGTTTGCTGAAGCAGCAGTCACTCATGTCTCCGAGAGCGCCGAACATCGTCGTCTCGGTCGGCTACTCGCTCGCTCTTCGACAAGATTTTCACGCGTACATATAAGTTGCAAGTTGCGGCGGACATCAAACGAGCCGAATTGATACAGTTAAGACTCAACTTGAAAGAGGTTGCATGAGAGAGAGCAGGCGCGGTACAAACAGACAAGGCGAGCCAATGTATGGATTTTGCAAGGAACCGAGCCAGGCCCTGAAACGGGCGGGGAGCCTCTCCAAGAGAATGTCTTGACAAGATTAAGGCCGTCCCGAACGAAAAGTTATGTCGGGAGCTCCTTGCTGTATATGTGCCGGGTAGACCCACCACTGCTTTCCGAAGGGTATTGTTAATTTCTTAACTGAGAGCCCAATAATACTCGCAGGTCTATATAGTAGATGAATTGGTCGTTATAATAGAGTATTTGACACTCACAATCCCCGCTTGCCTTCCAGGGAGAGTCCCAGTGGGAGGAAGTTCCTCCGAGGAACTTGCCGCTTCGTGCTCTCTCTTTCTGCGGACCGGAGATCCGATAAGCTGGCTTGCGGCGGCACAACGAGAAAACGTTAGAAACACACGTAGAAATCTGACCAGCACAACAATGCAGGGCAGATTTGAACACAAATAGACAGAAACCAACGTCCCTTTTAACTGCACAGCGCTTGCAGGTTGATGCTGCGCAGTACCTGAAGTACTGCTAACAATTCTGAAGTAACTGCCAAAAGTAGCATTTATTTGAAATTTCAAAGATTCTTTTGAGATCGTCATACACTTGATTCCGGAATCTCCAGCACCGCCCAGTGCTCAGCCGTGCTCCAGAAGTTGCAAAGTTGATATGGTGGGGCTTAGCGCCTCTCAGCTTCCCCCGGAGACGCTTCGCCCTGGTGATGTACTCGAGTATTACTCGCAGGAGTTTGTCTGTGGAGATCGCCGCGGGCATCGAGTGGGGATCGTCTTGAAGATCTCTGGGGCGCGCAGTGATCCGTATCCAGTCGCGCTGGACACACAGGAGACGCTTTCCCTGACGAACATGGTGCGCCGCCGCTTTGACGTCGCTCGCACCGCGCTCCTCATTGACAACGTTCGTTGGCGCAAGCTACGCTCCTTTAATCTGGTTCCGGGCGTGTATAAAGCACTAACGAGGGCCACACGCTTTTGCCAGGCCCTCAAGGCGCATCTAGATAAGACAAATGCCTCCACAGGAGCAATAGTAAACGCTGAGAGCGAGAAGAGCTCGCGACATCAACAGCTCTTTGTTCGTGAAGCTGCGAACGATCACACAGCGCCGCGACAATCCAAACCATCCAGCGTGACCGTTGTTTCGCCGGAGCTTTCACCGATCAGCCCTATAGGTGCAGGAGCGTTAGACGCAGACGTTCAACCCGAGGGTTTGGTGGAAAATACCCTCGACAGGCCAGTACACACGGTCGTAGATCTCACAGCAGACGGCACCGACCAAGAGATTGAAGTCAATGGAACGGAGGGCGCGGATGCGGCTGAAGGCTACGTTTGCGGCGAATACGGCTCGTTGGCGTCGCACAACAAGTTGCGGCGCATGGAGTTCGTTTCTGAGTCTGAACTCTCTGAGTCTGATGGCGACCTGGAGGCTGCAAATGAAAGAAAGGAGGTCTCGGACACCGATGTGCTGGCGGCGGGCGAGTTTGTGGAGGCTGTTCCCACACGTTGGCAGCGACAAAAGCGCAGACATCAGAGAAAAGTTAAGGCGGGACACTGGGCTGAAAGGCGTTCTCGGAAACGACGCCATCTGCGGTTGTGCGGCATGACAAGGAGCGGTATGGATATATACCACGCGCATTCCATGAAAGCGAAGAAGGTCAAAGCCATTATGCGCATTCGAGGGCTTCGAGCACGACTTCGCGAGCTTCGTTTACGGCGACCTACCTACCAAGAACCAGGTACCACTGGATATTTTCTCCTGAGGGAGGTGGCGTGGCCCAACAGCGTCCAGAACGCTAGCGAATTACTCAATCCAGAAGGCGTGGAGTTCGAGGATGTAGGAGATTTTGGGCGATGCTCGTGCGCAGGTGATTGTTACTTCGATACGTGTAGCAATGCCGACGCAGCTCTATACTGCACACACGATTCCTGCAACCTGGATGGAAAATGTAGCAATGCACCGAGAACGTTAACCACCTTGCAGCTGTTTGATACGGGTCGTGTCGGGGTGGGTGTTTGCACATACACGGACCTTAGTGTCGGTGACATTATCGGCGAGTATACGGGGGTTCTGAGTGCGTACGACCCGATCGACGCGGCGGGATCTGGTCAGAGAATGAAACACAACACCGGATATACGATGCTTCTGAACACCAAGTCTCGCAGAAATAAGTACGTGTACGTGGAGGCGTTGAACTGCGGGTCGATGATGCGGTTCATTAGTCATTCCTGCACTCCGAACGCTGCATTCGTCGAGGCTCAGAACAGATCCAGCGTGAAGGTGATGGTACGCATGATTGAAAACGTCTACGCGGGCGCTCAGATCACAGTTGATTACGGTAAGCAGACTTGGTTTAAATGTGCGTGTGACCAATGCTGGACTTCTCCAGAAGGGAGCGAGGCCACAAGCAATTGATGTTGTAGCATTCGAGAAATACCCTCGGGTAGGTTGAGTTCTACTTCGATTCGTATGCACTATCAATAACATAGTAGAGGTTTCAATTGCGTTCTTTGACTTCTGGAGAGAAAAAATATGAAAATGTAACTCGAGCACTAATTCAAGAAGCCTTTGCACTAACCCTCTAGTAGATTCTACTCAGGAGGTCTTGGGAAGGAACTACATGTACTGGCACCGACCCTACTTGAAAACGTTGGCCTTCTAGAGTGATCGTACAATACCCTCGGGTTCTACGTGTAGCTACAGGACTGTTTGTATTAATCATGTATATTACCCACACCAATGACCAGCGAATCAATCCTGGACGCCTAGAAAGTGAGGGCGGACCCAACACTCACAGGTCTTCCACCCCCCTCGTCTCCAGCTCTCCTGCGTTTGCTCCTGTTCACAAGCACGTTGCGACCACTGCTGTCTACGTTTTCTGTGACTCGAAGCGCAAAAAGCACGTGGACGCACACTCCGAAGGCATAACAGTAGTTACAGGGGCACCATCGCTGGGTAAGGTCGACGGGCCAGCCTCCCCACGGCTGGCCCTGCACTTCCATCCGTGCGTAGTTCACGCCCATTTGTGCGGAAAGTGCAATGCCCTCTTCCTTTCTGTTGTGCGGCGCCACGGACACTCGTTTCGCCAGTTGAGATGCCACCTTTAAGATCATAGAGCCCCCCGCATACCTATACTCAGGCATGAGCCCGACGGACACACCAATGAGTCTCTCACGTGTCATTTCTGCGACCCTACGCGTGAGGGTTTTCGAAGTAGAGATGTCGTAGCTAAAGGGCCGAATACTTGTCGAAAGATCATGGCAACAAGCCGCCAGCTCGCGAAACAAAGTACCCATCTTGAGTCTGCGGCGTAGCGTGTAGTCTCTCTTAAGCAACGCATTGAAAGTTTCGGAGGGATTGTTCGTGGCTGCGAAGCCACTCGGAGTTAGGAACGTTTGCCAGGCTCTGAAACGACCATGCAACCACTGTGCTTTCATGTATTGCGCAAAACCCACCAAATTTGAATCGGACATCCAATTCATCAAAATCACCTCCCGAAGTTGCTGGAACTCGAAATCGCTTTTTTGTAAAATGCAGGTCGTACACATCTCGCGCAATTGCAGCCGTCACACCCGAGGAAAATGTCTTAGTCGACTTCATCACGTTTTTAATGACGTGGAAAAAGCACATAATGAACTGGAAGCCTGGATAGTGCCCTAAGACAGCGTGTAGAGCGTTATATTGGGCCTGGTCGGCGTCGGCCATCGCGTAGCGGACCTGTAGATCTTTCTGTGTTATCCAATAGAATAACCGACGTAGCGAAAAGAGAACTGCCTCGAAGATGGATTGCGTTTCTTGAGAGACGACGTATAGTGCGACCAAATGGAACCGACGGCTTCGGTCAGACACGCCTACCACGACAACGGGGTAGCCGCGGCAGTTCATCTTGTATGTCGCGTCTATATGTAGAATGAAATGTTCTGGAGACTGCAATAACCTCGTCACCAAGGCTTTGGTAGTTAATCCAACTACAAATGGTTTCCGATCGGAACCGTCGCCGACCACGGGCTTCCCCTCACAATCCAATTGCCAGCCAAATGTAAATGGCTC